AGGCAACTACCAACTCCTCTCGAAGTGCTTCTAGAGTCTGAGGAGGACGTTGCAAATTGAGCAATCTCCTACCCATCATATCCCACACGTGCTCAATTGGGGATAAGTCGGGAGATCTTGGTGGCCATGGTAACAATGTGACATCATTATGTTGAAAGAAGTCTATTGTGACTCTTGCAACATGTGGTCGGGCATTATCTTGTTGGAAAGTTGGATCTGCCAGGGTGTCAAGATAGGGTAAAAGATGGGGTTCTAGAACTTCGTGGATATAACGCTGCGCGTTCATGTTACCTCTGATGAAGATTAAAGGTGACCTGGAACCATAAGCTATATCACCCCAAACCATAACTCCAACAGTGTGATGAACATGTCTTTCAACAAAAAACTGTGGATTCCTCCTTTCACCACGTCGCCTTCTAACCCTGGCACGACCATCGTGCATGCCTAAACAAAATCGATACTCTTCACTAAAGACAATACTGTTCCATTCCTGATCCCAGAGTGACCGTTGTCTGCACCACTCAAGGCGATTACGTCGGTGTTCTCGAGTTAAAGGGAGGACCCAGTGTGGCCGGTATGAAAACAAGCCAAAACTTCTCATTCGTCGGTAAACACTTCGCATGCCAATAGGTCTTCCGTGTTCTGCAAACCATTCATTTGCAATGGACCTGGTAGTGGAGAAACGGTCCCTTAAGGCCAATATTCTTAGGCGGCGATCTTCACGGTCTGTTGTTCTACGGCGGCGTCCAGTGCCCCTTGCTCTTTGCGTACGGCCTTCTCGAAGCCATGCCTGACAACACCTAACCACAGTGTCTACACTTCTTTGCACTCTAACTGCAATTGCCCGAAAAGAAAGTCCAGCTTCCCGAAGTCCCACTATACAGCCCCTATCAAACTCACTAAGTTGACGAAATCGTACAGGTCTCCGTACTCTAGGCATCGTAACCGATCGTAAAGGATGTCAAGAACCAAAATCCGCCAACGTTGATTCTTTACTGCGGCTGAAATATTCATTTTTAGAGCGTTAGTGAATTAAAAAAAAGCAGTATAAAAACCGGAATGTCCAACTGATAAGGCTGAACATTTTTTCACTTGTTATTTACAGTAAGATAAATACATTCACCAACTTTTGTTAAAATAAAACCATTTAAACTGGGTGTTCGGATTTATATGTCACTTAGTATATTATTGAAGTCAAGAAATTCGGAAGCCATGACAGCCCACATCCTGATTTATTTGCATTCTAGTCAGCTTTGGAATTGATTAATGCATAAAACCGCATCGCCATTATAGACATGCATTTCTTTATGTACACCTAAAATGAAAGTAGCTTATAAACTGGTATATTAGGTGGTATACATTTTAATCGGACTGCTAGATTGAGGTCACGACAGGTGAACAACGCGTTAAAATGCACGCGTTTTGTGTATTATATGCAGTGGCGTAGGCAGGACAAAGGCATGCGTGGAAACGGGACTGATGCTGGGATTAAGAATTTGGATTAGTGTTATTGCAGTTACTTGATAATAATGATAATACAGTGGACCTCCGGTAATCCCACAAACATTATGCAGGGCAGTGTCGGACTATCGAATTTGTCGGATTATAGAGCACTGCCTAAGACCCCCTATAGTCCGGAATTTTTTACAAAAGAGTACCTTGTAATCCGACAAATTACATATGCAATGGTAAGATTATATATGTTATGTATATGTATGTACTTTAAAGTACAAATCATATAACATTATGTATGTCGAATTTAGTAAATTAAATAACAATAATCAAGAATTATTAATCAAAATCATTAATGAATTTATCAAATTATGAAGCTTGGAAATATTCATCAATTTTTTTTTGTTTAAGGTTGTTATAACGCGAGATCAGAGCTTTGTCCCTCAGCCTTCTCAAAAGTAAAAGTTCGTTCTAAGATGTACCATTCTCTTCAGTCCATTGTAAACCTAGCTCAAAGACGTTAATTGCGTCCTGTGCTGTGACTTGTGGAGCAGTTGCAATCACGTCGTCGTTATTTTCCTGATTGTTTGTTGTATAATTAGAAACCTCTTTTATAATCTCTTCGTCTGACATTTCATGAAAAACATTTTCCTCTTTATCCATTCCACGGCACCAGATTTCCAAATCTTCCGGACTTATCTGTGTTTCACTAGCGACTTGTTCTATAACTTCCGAAGTTACACTGATTTGTGGAACGTTGCTAGGAGTGGTGACTATATCTGGCCATAACTTTTTCCAAGACGATTTAATAGTTGATGACGGTAACGCATTCCACGACTGACAAAGAGCAAAAACCAAGTCTTTCATATTAAATCCTTTTAAAGTTTTTTCTATTGGTTGGTCTTTTGATACCGATCTCAGAAGTAGGTTTTTCCTATAGTCTTGCTTGACAAACTGAATTATATTCTGGTTATCAGCGCAGTGCAATTTGGTGGAAGAAGCATCACAGTGATGCATTTATCCTCAGTTGTTAGTTCTTCTTCAGGCGCATGACCGGGAGCGTTATCAGGAAGCAACAACGCTTTTTGACGAAAATTATTATCTTTTAACCATTTTCTAACTTCAAGTACGAAGCATTCATCGAACCACTTTTTGAAAGGGTCTTTTGTCATCCATGCACTTTTTTGTCCGTAATAATAGTGTACAGGTGAATCAATGTTTTTGAATGCCCGTGGTTTATTAGATTTCCCAATGACCATCATCTTAAGCGCGTGTGTGCCCGCAGCGTTAGCACATGGTAGTATGGTTACACGCTCTTTACTTATTTTTCGTCCAGGTACGGATTTTTCGTTACAAGAAACGAAAGTTTTGTTAGGCATCACACGCCAAAAAAGCCCTGATTCGTCCGAATTGTACACCTGTACGGGTCAAGATTTAAATCGTTCACCTTTTGCAAAAATCTTAATTCAAAGGGCTCTATGCAGGTGGCATCGTTAGAAAGTTTCTCTCCTGTAATAGTCATTAAACGTATGCCATGACGACTTTTAAAACGTTCTAGCCATCATTTGCTGGCCACAAAATCGTCTTTTTTTGTTATTTCCTTATAAAAAACTTAGCTTTCATGGCCAACATGGGTCCTGAAATTGGTGCATGCTTATTTCTTTCCTGAAGAAACCACATGTACAAAGCTTCTTCCACTTCTGGATGTTCAGCTTTCTTGAGTGTCTGTCTCTTGCCTGGCCCGCAGTCAGTAGTTGACACGAACTTCTTGATCTTCGCGTGGTTTCTTTTAATGTCATAAATTGTAGATCGGCCTACGCCGTATTCACTTGCTAAACTACTGAAAGTTTCATTGCAATTTAAGCGGTCTAAAATATCACATTTTTCTTTAACCCTAGATTACGGGACTTGTTTCAAAATACTTTAATACGGGACTATCGTAAAATATACGAAGATAATATAAAACTTGCATTGTACAATAAAATTCTTATGAAAAAACTCATGAAAAATAAAAGATATATTTCTAAGGACTTTACAATAAAATGCAAGAACAAAATATCAATAAAAAGTCAATATATATTATTTGACACTACATTCCTTGCATACATTTCCTCGATGCTCACCACAGATCGGATGTCCACACTGTCCACAATACGTCGTTGTCATCCGTCTCTTTTGAGAAGGGGAAAAAAAGCACGTTTTACGCTTTTTTTCTAGAGGGATTTCAGGTGTTGTATCTTTTCGAATATTGAGAAGAAGGGCAATATCTTGACTTATATTTCGACGCAACGTAGGAGTCGATAATCTATGCCTCAACCATGGCTCAGCAAGGCGACGACTTAAATCTATCATGTACTGGTAACGTGAAAGGGGTTTCTCTCCTCTTGATAAAGCATTAAAAGTATAAATCACAAAGGAGTTGATGCTGGCTATATTCACCATACCATATAGCACACACAGGGACCATCTTCTAGTTTTCCTGCTGCAGCTCATGTTGGAACACATTTGGTCGAATGTGTCGACACCCCCTTTAGTTTCATTGTAGTTCTGAACAATTGCTGGTTTTCCTGTTTGTTTTGAAATTTCAGCACCCTCATGCATTGTAGACAATAGCAGTACTAATTTCTGCTTCCTAGGCACATACGAAAGTAATAGTTTTTCTTGATCAAAACAGAACATTGATGTATTTACGTTTCACTGCCTTATGTCAAGCAGTTCGGGAGGAATTTCCCTTTTATTTTTTCTTAGTGGTCCAATTATTGTCAGTTTGTAAGGATCTTGGAGTAGTTCATCTGCCAAAATGACGGACGTGAACCAATTGTCCATGGTAATATTCCTGTTACTTCCATGGACAGATTTTGTAAGCTCCTTTACAAAGTAGGTAGCAAGCGGCAAACCATTCGTTCTGGTACTTTTTCCTATATATGGACTAGCATCAACCATATAGCATGTTGAGTTGTCACATAGCATGACAATTTTTATACCATACTTTGAAGGTTTATTCGGTATGTACGTGCGGAATGGACATCGTCCACGAAATCCCAAAAGCTGTTCGTCTATAGTGAGGTAAGAAGATGGTGTATATGATGATCTGCAAGTTTCAATGAAAATATCCCATAACTCACGGATATGGGTGAAAGGATCATTAATTTTTCTTTCCTGTCTTGTTTCTCTTGAATCAAATCTGAGACAGTTCAGTAAGAACATAAATCTGTCACAGTTCACGCAGGCTCTATAGAAGGAACCAGAAATCGTCGTATTAAACATATGTCTGGCAGATAGATGGTTGTCTTTCTTGGCAGCCGAGAGTATCAAAATTGCAAACAGCGCCTGTAGTTCTTCTTTAGTGGTAGGTGACACATTGTTGTTACCCGTGTAATTTTGCCTTTGTCGTACAATTTCTTCATTAGTAATATTATATCAAGAATAGGATCAGAGAAGAAATGTAAAAAATATTCTTCCAGTGTCACATACTCCTTCGCTTCACCTTTCGGGCCTGCCACAAAATGGATGAGGTTTCTTGAAGCAGTTCTTTTAGTTCTGCTGGGCTATGTTGATGTCCATCTCTGACCATTCTTTCCTTTCAAACTCAAAATATTGGGTTTAACTAGAAAGTGATTTGTTTTACAAGGTTCAAGTTGAGGTTGATGTACGGGATCGTCGGAGTTCACATGGCCGTCATCATTCTTTTTCTCTGCCGAAGTAGTCGTTTCTTGTTCATTTATAGGAACATTCTCGTCCAAATAGAATTCATCATTTGAATCATCTGATCCCTTAATCGATTCTACTTCAATATTATCTTCTTCCCAATCACTTTCACTATCCTCAAATGGATCTGGATCACTGTCTCCTCCCTCCATAATTTTTCTCACTTCTTCTTCCAATTCTGCCTGAGATAAGGACCGTTTTGAAGTCATTTCGCTGGAAAGACATGTACTCAGAACGCTATAAGTATGAAAAATAGAAAACACCTTACCTCACAAATAAATGTCAGCAAAACCGCTTTTCAAAGAATAGAATAAAAATCAGCTTGCGCGAAAATAGCAAACAGTGACACGGGACTATCGTAAAATTTACGACGGAAGTGCAAAATCTCCGTTACGCTTGACAAATACACGATGTTACGTACACCGAAGTCTAGCCGAAAACTAAATAGGAAGGTATCGAGAGTCTCATTCCGATACGCTAACCGAAAATGAACGAAAACCCACGACGAATATTGTCGATCGTAAATTTTACGAATGTCCCGTACTCTAGGGTTAATTGTGAATGTTTGAGCTTGTGATGACATTACTAGGTACTATACTTAATACACAATGAATAAATGGTAAACAATGAACGCACGCTAGGCCGTACCGCTATCACAAGTAGTCAAATTCAAACTAAGTAAAACAATGCTTATGCGTCGAGCACGATAGCGGTAGCGCGTACAAGTTGTAACCTGTTCAAACCTGCGTGATCTACATTAGCGAAGATTGTCAAATACGTATGTATGTAATATTCAAAGACATGTCGGATTACAGGGGGCGACAGATTAGATAGCGGCTGGATTATCGGGGGTCCACTGTAGTCCTGGATTTATATTGATAAAATTGAAAGTTATTCTGAATTAAAGAAACTTGAAATTTAATAAAGTGAGGAGAAAAAGTTGGGAAATATACAGTGGGTTTGACGAACTATTCGTAGGTGGAGTGTCACACGGCTTGTGTATACAAACTATTCTCTAGAAATAGGAAGAAATATGATTATATTAAATGATCTTCAACAAAAAATTACATGCATAATTTTTAAAAAATGATTTTGTTTTTGGACTGAAAAGAATAATTTTTGTTTTATCAGCAGTAAGTTCCCAGTGAAGACAAAGTCGATATGACGTCTGCGTGAGGTCGATAGGACGTCGATGAGACGTACAGTCGCTGGCAAAAATAATGGCGCGGTGTGCCCAAAAAAAATTGAGGATGTGACAATAACGCAACACAAACAGTGTTTTCAGGAGTGGTAAAAAGGCGCCAAAACTCATATTCTACTTACCTACCACTCCTGAACCCTTTCATCCCCAAATGTCGTTATCACCTCCGCAATTTTTCAGGAGCATTTGCACAAATAGGTCAATGAAGAACTTAAAAGTACCGTTTGATCTCAAACGCGTTCAGAATTTGTTTGTAGCAATTTGTCAAATTCGCTTTGCTTTTTCACAGGAGGAAAGACGCTTCTCGTTTCTGCCTTATTGACTACGTGGCAACACTATCATCCCTACTAAATTTTTACCACAATGTACCTTAAAGACGATGGAGCCCATCGTGATATCGGTCAAGCACAATCGTGCTTTTTCGCTGATGATCGGCTGAATGATATGCTGTCCCAAAATTTTTTCCGCGCTTGATTACAAATCTTCTAGTAAAACTTGTTTATTGGTATACAGCTGAGTGTCTAATAAAATTGGTATTTACGGGAATAAAACATGATTTAAAATGGCAATTTGAATCATTATTATTAGAGAAGTCATTACTAATAACACTGATCAACAGCCAAAAAAGATCCTAAATAAAATCAACAACATATTACTATTTTTAATGTGCTAAAACCGGAATGAAACTTATTTTTTCAATATTAGTTCAAGTTTTAGAGATACGGTAATTATATGTGTTCCTGCTGTGACAGTGTTAATATACTGTAATTCACAAGAATGCACGTGCTACATTTTTGTATTCGGCAAGGAAAGATGATGTAATCGGCATGATTGTGTTACGTCATACATACGTGTACATTATATTGTTTCATATTAGCCATTTCTTCCTCAGTTGGCTGACAGCGTTCATGCAAGATGTCTCGAAAGTGTGTAAACAATCCAGATCAGTTTTGTTACGTGTGTGGTGATGTGACTTTTGCGTCTCAGAGACGGTCTATTACTCCACTAATAACAACGGCATATCAGCTTTATTTTGGTTGTAAACTAGGTGATCAAGACAAACAGTGAGTACCCCACATCTGCTGTAATACATGTGCTTCAAGTCTGAGGAGCTGGTTAAATGGCAAAAAACGGTCTATGCGCTTTGCTGTCTCAATGGTTTGGAGAGAGCCTACAAATCATATTAATGATTGTTACTTTTGCATGGTACCTTGAGCTGGACAAGCCACAGGTATGTCCAAGAAAAAAAAATCGGTTATTAACTACCCAAACATACCATCTGCGATGAGACCTGTGCCTCACAGTGACGAAAATCCTATTCCAAAACCCCCAGAATCCTACACTTGCGAATCAGAAAACGAATCAGATCATGGCGATCGAGTGATTCGTCAGGAAGAAGATATGCCATCAACGTCAAGAGATCCTGATTTTATACCGAGCACGTCATGCCACCAACCGCACAAAATAACACAGTCAGAATTAAATGATCTTGTAAGAGATTTAGAACTTCCAAAATGTAAGGCAGAGTTACTTGGATCAAGACTGCAGCAGTGGAACTTGTTAGAAGACGATGTTTCGGTATGCGTTTTTCGTAAACGCCACAAAGACTTAGAACCATTTTTCAATATGGAGAATAACTTGGTTTTCTGTAGTAACATTAACGGCTTACTGGCGGCTTTAAATATTAACTATAACCCAGAAGAATGGAGATTGTTTATAGACAGTTCAACATTGAGTTTAAAGGCGGTGTTGTTGCATATTGGAAATATTTTACCATCTCTTCCTGTAGGGTATGCAGTTCACATGAAAGAATCATATGACAATATGAAGTACCTATTGACATGCATAAAATACGATGAGCACCAATGGCATATTTGTGGCGATATGAAAGTTGTTGCACTTTTACTTGGGCTGCAGCTAGGCTACACAAAGTTTTGCTGTTTTTTGTGTGAATGGGACAGTCGGGCAAAGGCACTTCATTACACCAGACAAAACTGGCCTGTTCGTCAATTCCTAGAGCCAGGTCAAAAAAATGTACAGCATATGCCATTAGTAGATTCGAAAAAAAATTTATTACCACCACTGCATATCAAGTTGGGCCTCATGAAAAACTTTGTCAAGGTATTAGATAGAGATGGGTCAGCTTTTCAATACCTGCGTCAGAAATTTCCAGGACTAAGTGAAGCAAAGGTTAAAGAAGGTATTTTTGTTGGGCCACAGATTCGAAATATTTTGAAAGATACACAGTTTGAAAACACTTTAACTTTAACAGGTATTGAAAAAACTGCTTGGAATGATTTCCGTCTGGTGGTCACTAATTTCTTGGGAAATAGAAAAGCTGACAACTATAAAACCCTTGTCAAAAATATGCTGTCATCGTATCAAAAGATGGGCTGTAATATGTCTCTTAAGATACGTTTCCTACACTCACACCTGGACTTTTTTCCTGACAATTGCGGAGCCGTAAGTGATGAGCACGGCGAACGTTTTCATCAGGATATTTCAACAATGGAAAAAAGGTACCAGGGAAAGTGGAATCCTTCCATGCTTGCAGACTACTGTTGGACTCTTGGTAGAGATGCTCCAGAAACGATCCATAAAAAAACAGCAAAAAGACAGCGCATATAGTGATTCTTATAAGTATATGAATCTTGTTACTTTTTTTAATATATCCTTAAAAATAAAAAGTTTTTTTTCTAAACCGCAACTAATTTTTTTATTTCATTGTCATTTTTGGATTCAGCGCCCCAAAATTAACAAAGAAGTGCACTTTTCCCACAAGATACAATTAAAAAACTAAAATTTGTTGTCCAGTGTAATGTATTTTTGGTTGAAGAATTCCTGTTACTATTTTATAAATAATAATAAACAGTTATTAGTATTTGGATATCTAGTTCACCTTACTGATCGTTGAAAGTCTATTTTATTTGTAGGTTTTTCGGTAGTGACTTTCTTTGTTTGTTGAAGATTTATTTAGCTTTAATGCTACAATGTCAATTTTGTATAATGATTCGGTTACATATTTTTATTCAACCCATTTTCTGTAATTTTACATTCTTGTATATTAAAATTAAAATTACGTCACTATGTATTTTGATTATTCATAAAGTGATTTTTTAATTTTACCTTAAACACTTTTAAATTCGAACTCTGTTTAATATCATTATTCAATTTATTAAATTCAAATACTCCCTTGTGAAATATAGATTTACTAGTTATGCTATTATTACAATTTTGCAGATGAAAATCTATACTGCCTCTATAGTCAACGCCAAACAAAGTGGCGTGCACGTCATCACGATAAAAATTCCCCGACCTAATGCCTAGGTTTCTATCACAAACAATTGCTCTATTGCAGTTTCATATTAATGTGATATATAAATTGTAAAATGGTCATTACTCTCTTATTATGGTTAATAGTCATATAAACATTGTTATTAAAATATCACATAAGTTGCTTTCTGATAAATTTAGACGCATTATGCGAAATAAAATGTTTTGCAAACGCTCCAATCACTTATCGACATGTAAACGCACTAAACCGATTTCGCAGCGTTGACACATTGTCACCTTGAAACTTATTTAAACTGGGAACTGACATTTGTATTAATTTTGACACTGAATCAATTTGTGGCATTTCAAATCTTTATAAATCCTTTGGCCCCGCATACTGTAAATCAACAACTGTTTGTTTCAAAACAAAATTATTCATTTTACGAGTAGATAAAGGCAATTTTGGTATATAAAGATGCCCAAACAGTTAAATAGTCGGTGTAAGGAACTCGTGGCCTCGTTAACGCACTACTTTGAGCAAGAAAGGGACAACAACGGGCCTTTGTTGCCTTTAAATGCTGTTCAAGAGGTAGGTTACTAATAATTATATGTAATGTATATTCATAATAGTGAAATTTTATTTCATTTTTTGTAGCGTGTTGCTGCTGCTTTAAAAATTAGTTTAAGGACAGTTAGTCGTATTTCCGAGGGTGTGAAAAGTGATGCAAATTTAGA